ATATCATCTCACACTGGTCAGAATGGCCATCATCAAAAACTCTAGAACCAATAAATGCTGGAGAGGGTGTAGAGAAAAGAGAACACTCTTGCGCTGTTGGTGGGAATGTTAATTGATACAGCCACTATGGAGAACAGTATGGAGGTTCCTTAAAAAACTAAGAATAGAATTACCATACGACCCAGGCATCCCACTACTGGGCATATAACCTGAGAAAACCATAATTCAAAAAGAGTCATGTACCAAAATGTTCATTGCAGCTCTATTTCCAGTATCCAGGACATGGAAGCAACCTAACTGTCCATCAACAGATGAATGGATAAAGAAGATGTGGCACATATATACTGGAATATTACTCCAATATTCCATAATAATGGAATATTACTCAGCCATAAAAAGAAACGACATTGAGCTATTTGTAATGAGGTGGATAGACCTAGAGTCTGTCATACAGAGTGAAGTAAGTCAGAAAGAGAAAGACAAATACCATATGCTAACACATATATATGGAATTTAAGATTTAAAAAATGTCATGAAGAACCTAGGGGTAAGACAGGAATAAAGACACAGACCTACTAGAGAATGGACTTGAGGATATGGGGCAGGGGAAGGGATAGCTGTGACAAAGTGAGAGAGTGGCATGGACATATATACACTACCAAACGTAAAATAGATAGCTAGTGGTAAAATAGATAGCTAGTGGGAAGCAGCTGCATAGCACAGGGAGATCAGCTCGGTGTTCTGTGACCACCTAGAGGGGTGGGATAGGGAGAGTGGGAGGGAGGGAGATGCAAGAGGGAAGAGATATGGGGACATATGTATATGTATAACTGATTCACTTTGTTATAAAGCAGAAACTAACACACCATTGTAAAGCAATTATACGCCAATAAAGATGTTAAAAAAATGCAGTAGATTTAGTAATAATTTAGTCTGTTGTCATTCAGAGAGCCGGTAGTGGTAGTTAAAAGAAGAAACCCAACTGTGCAACAAAAGTGTCACAAACACAGAAACAATGCTGTGCATTTAAAATCCATCAGATAAAAGTTTGGAGGAAATAATAAGACCCTGGGAAGTCGTAGCACTGCATTTCAATTTCTCCATCTCATTTATGTCTATATTAGCTATAAATTAAGTCTGAAAGTTAAATCTGTAGCTAATTGTCCACTGAACATTTGGTATAAAATTTCACAAGTATGTGTCCTTTTCTGGGATAATGTATAGATCCACCTAAAATAATAATTATTTTATTATTAATAAATATTTATTAGTATTTTTATATCTAATAGTTACTGAGCACTTACTGTGAGCCAGGCACTGTTCTAAGTGCTTGACAAGTTAGTCAGCTAACCTTCCCAAGTATGAACTTTCTACTTTCATTTGTTAAAGGAGGTACAGAAAGATGAGATAACTGGCCTAAGTTCACACAGATTTTAAGGGGTAGGATTTCAGCTCCGGCAGTGGAAAAAATCAAATTTGCTTCAAAATCACATTCTCTAAAATGTCCTAAGTTAAAATAAGAATTAGAATATTATTTATATTACACTTTATACGTTACCAAGTTTATTCAGTCCTATAACCAAGCATTATAATCCCAGTTTTGTTGGTGAAGAAATTAAGATTTGTTACTAAAGTTCATAACTGCAGACATAGTAGTAGAAAAATTACTTATTAATGAAAATGTTTACACTGAATACAAAATGTGTAGGTAAAAAATCTCATTTATCACTCTAAAATGAAAAAATGGTGGTTAAGCATTCCATAAAATGCAAAGAAAACTCAAACATCTATAGCTCTAAGATTTGACAACTAAAAACTTGTGTTGAAAATATTTTCCAGGTAATAAAAAGAACTGAAACAATTATTTCAATGTATATTACATTGGTCTCTTAGAGTTAGCACTGCAAAATAATTTTAAGATTCTAAATAAGCCCCATGAAACAGTTTAACCCGCACCACTGTTACACACTTTAATACTAACCTTCTCTCTGAATATCCAGGCAATTTTAAAATCCTTGGCTTCTCCCCCTTTGTAAAGAAGATCTTTTAACAATACCTCTCTTTAAATTGAGGTATTTCAAGTTAAAGAAAGATGTTTCTATAGCTTGCCCATCACCCACATAGTGGTTCTGAAGTTGTCCCTGAAGGGCTTACCTTTGAGTTTATTGTGCTCAGAGTCCGCTGGGAAGAGGGAATCTGGAAAGAGCTTGGGGAAGGTGAGTCCTGCATACTTGGGCCGATTCTCCACATAGTTTCTTACTGTGGGTTGCAGTTTCTTCATGAATTCTGGGCATGGTGTTCCTAGTTGCTCAATTACCTTGTTCCACTGGTCAATATCTGAGAATTGAATAGTTAAGGGCAAAAACAAGTGTAGGCCACTAGCGCTTGCCTTTCACTAGTTGGGAGACTAACTGCTTCTCAGAATCCCGAGCAGTCATCAACACAAATGGAGTTTTAATAAACAACAAAGGACAGAAATATAAAATCAGATTGTCAGGCAGTGAATCCTCTTGGAATTTTAAATTCACTTTTGGAACATATACACTTTTGGGGAATTAGCATTACTTAAAATAGGATATCATGAAATAGTCTTTGGGTTGTAAAGATGAAAAGATATTTAAATAACACAAGAAGAATTTCTCCTCTTGAGCTAAACTTCTGTATAACCATGTGATTTGGAAGACAAAAAAATATAAAGACATATAATAATATTATCATGAAATTACTTCCATCATTTATTTTCTAAAAATGACAAATACACAAATATTTTATAAGATTTGTTTATATTTTTCTTAAATTCTTTTTAAGGTTTTTTTCTTCTGTTCTCTATCAAATGGGAAATTTCATTATCTGTTAATGTTTTCCACTCATATGCATTACAAATAGGGTCAATCTAATTTTTGATAGTAACTCACTAATTCTTTACCAAAGACTTAAAAAAAAAAATTCTCTTTATCAAAGTAGTTGCAGTTTCATACCTATTTACTTACTTCTGATAATAGTGCCCTGTATCCCTGAATATTGGGGATATGAGGGTAAACATAGGATGTTCAATTTAAAACAGATTTCAGCCAAGTGCATGTGTTTCAAAAGTATGTTAAGCATAGGGAATTCTACAAGAAAAATAAATATTACCTCTCTATGAAAGTTAATACTTTACAAAACTGGGGGGGGGGGTCTCTCACAGACATACCCACTGATTGAGATTTTCTTTATCATCTATCATTGATATTTGATATGCCAGAGCCTTGAGAATGATAAATACCTGTGAAAACTCTGAAGAGCCAACTGGAAGAAGTTGATTTCTAACAGATTTCCTTGCCACGTGTCAATGAATGATGGAGGCCTTAGAAATTCTTAAATCCAATACCACAGGCAGTATACTCTCCTATGTTGTTTATTCTACTACTCTACCTTTAGTGTAAAGTTAATTAATTCATTTCTGCTAATGTAATTTGTGACAGTTCAGGTAACTTTACCATAATATTACTTAATTGAGATTCATAAAATCTTTACCCCAGCTATTCCATAGGGTTGGACTAAAAAAGATGGGCAGTCCTGACAGAAGACAAAATTAACTATATTCAGCCAAAATAAATATATAATGCAAACAATGTAGATAGGTGATTGAACAAAGATAAAATCAAGCTAATTTGCAAATTCTCTTCTATTTCCCTTATAATCTAGCTGAATAAAGTTTAAATTATTACATAGCCTCTCAAGTATGGGGATGAAAAAAATACATGATTGTGTAATATCAAGAAATGGAGTAAAAGTGGGAAAAACTGAAGAATATTCCTTTACAAAATGATAGGAATAATTTAAAAAGAACACATTTCAATAAAAATTAATCTAAATTACCATGTGCCTGAGAAAGTGAAAATCATTAGAAATAAACTTAAAAAATTTCAAAAGATTAGAGTTAAAAGTTACTCTTAGACAAAAACTTATGTTAGTACTATGGATATAGGTAAGCTAGAATGACTTAGATATATTTAAATAGAAAACATTAATACAGTTAAATAAATCTCAGTGCTTACATTGTAAATTATGAAAAGAGATCTACTCTTTAATACAGTTAAGTTATCACGTCCTAACAAGCCATCATTTAATCATCGGTCAAGCTTCTTTAGGATTCTGAAGATTTGATGTCAAACTAAAAATAAGGGCAAAGAAGCTGTCAGATTTTCTGTAAAGGAGTCTTTTAACAAAGGTGGCAAAATACTCCCAACACACTACTATAGTGACATTTAACTAGCAGTATACAGTTATTTAGTTAAAAAGTGATTGCTTTTAAAGTAACATTCCCAAAACAATTACATGTTATTTTTACAGTAAAGTTTAAGAAGACTCAAATATTTTGGAATTAATTAAACAAGGACTATTAAAATGTTTCTTATTACAAGTTATAATTAAAATCTATAGAAGCACTCAGCACATTTTCCTACCTTAAATTGCTTTTTAGATGAAACACTATTGTGGTCCTTGATGTAATGGTTTACGAAAAAGAAGGGAGGGGAGAATCTTTATTACTGACAATGAAATAATTGAATGTTCTAACTGCAAATATGTGGTATAGTCATCTTTAAAATTGTGTGCCTCTATTTTAACCAATCCATTTCAGGTTCTTTCTTCACAAAAACATGACTAGTATATTTAAGTAGTAAGTATTTGTTTTCCAGATGTTCGCAGGATTGCAAACAACTTCGTCCACTATCCTTAGTTAACCACACTGATTTTTCTTTATAATCATAATTAACCAAATATAAGCCATGACTGGAAGTAATGTCTCCTGGCTCCAAATCCAGTCCTTGTTCCAAGGATTCCAGTAAGAAAAAGAGCAAGTTTGGAACTGATGTGTTAAAAATTGCTTTAATTTGGCCATAAAATTGATGGTATGTTTGTCACAGGCAATTCCTCTTAAAAAGTGCCTCTGAAACTGCTTACCTAGTCTATTAGGTCAACATATCCACATAAAACAATTAATTTTATTAATATTTAAATAGAAAATAAGGTGATGCATTTTTCAAAGAAATTTTTTAATCATCAGATTTCCACAATGATTTTATTTTTAAAAATACATAAAATATTAACTAGTTTTTTATGATTATGTGCTAATGTTAGCATAGTAAATTTTTTTTAAAAGAATGGCCAAAATTATTTTTGCAAAAGGATTTATTTGTTTTAGAACACTAATAAGTCATCATTTTTCTATTATATGGGTAAGGATGTGATTCCTTACAGATTCCAGCCTGTGTAGTTATCAAAAAAGCAATAAATATATTTTTTAATATACTTTAATATATTTTTAAATATTTTGATCTACTAGTTCAGAAATTATCATACAACTTAATTATCAAAGGTACTTAATAAAAATTTTAAAATGTCATTTAATAGGAATCACTTGACAATATCCTCTAGTTCTAAATTCACTACATAAAAAATAGTCATATTACAAAAAGTTTGATTTTATAGAGTATAATGATAAGATAATGTGCAAATATTGACCACTACTAATGTCTTCAATAAATAGTATTGTAATAGAAGAATGAGGCAAAATAAGTATGGATTGTAAAAATGATTATCTGAAATCCTAAGATTAAAAATTATTCCAGGGCTTCCCTGGTGGTGCAGTGGTTGGGAGTCTGCCTGCCAGTGCAAGGGACATGGGTTTGAGCGCTTGTCCGGGAAGATCCCACATGCCGCGGAGAAACTGAACCCGTGTGCCGCAGCTGCTGAGCCTGTGCTCTGGAGCTCGCCAGCCGCAGCTGCTGAGCCTGCATGTCACAACTACTGGGGCCCGTGCTCCGCAATGGGAGAGGTCACCTCAGTGGAGGCCCACACACTGCAGTGGGGAGTGGGCCCTGCTCACCGCAGCCAGAGAAGGGCCCGTGCGCAGCAACGAAGACCCAACGCAGCCAAAAGTAAAATAAATTAAAAAATAAATAAAATTTAATAAAAATTATTCCAGCTAATTCTTGTCAGTTAGCCAAGAATTTACATTTAATGTCCTCATTTTAGGTTAACTTCCTTGGTTGAGGAAATTTCTAAAATATGTAACAAACTGCCTTGAACCTAATGTATGAAATTACTCATACATTATTTTCTTATTATTTTCTAGGTATTTGGGGTCATAATTTACACTATGCACATTTAAACTTTCAGAAGCTACTAAGTGGAATCATAAAGCGTTGTTTAATGACCTCATTCTACTATGCCCTTTGAATTACTGTATCTTCTTTTCATGTTTTTTTCTTCATTGATTACTTTTTGCTATGATGAATATGGTTTCCAGAGTTGACACCATCAAGAATTCAGACTTGCTTTCTACTCTGCCCTAAGCCTTATATTCAATATTCTATGCAAAAATTTTCTGACATCTATTTGCAACTTAAAGAATATCAGTGTTTGTTCCCAAATTCTTAACTATGTTTTTAAAAATAATATTGTTTAAGAGCACTGTCTGTATAGAAAAGTTCCAGGAGAGGCTACTTAATCTTGCAAGCCAACTTGCTGCCTGGTTGGCACTGCATTGTGTATTACTGTGTGGCTTTATGTTAGCCTTGTATTCATGTCTGCAATAAGGAAGTGGAGGTATGCATGTCATGTGTTAGGCATCATGATATAAAATTGTTGTTCCCAAACTGAATATTCATAACATAGGGAACTTATAAAAATACAGATCACTCCCCTCTACTCACTGATCTACAAGATTCTGAGTGCATATGCCTGAGATGATATCATTAAGAAACACCAATAGTAATTGCAATCCAGATGACCCCTGGACTCTATTTGAGAAATACGAACAATCTCTTGTGAATTACTAAGCCCAGATTTAAGAATAAAGTACTAACCTGTTTCAGTTTTATGACACAAATTAGAATAGGGTCAATTTCACCAAAAGATTATTCCATACCTATTTGCTATGGAAAACTTAGGGGTTGTCAACTTGGAAATATTTCAGGGAAAGAAAAATCCTAATATATGTTCCTTTTCCCCATGTCACTTTCCTGAAAAGACCATGGGAAATTATGACAAGTAGGCTCCATGCAGAGAAAGAGGGGTTCTACCCATCCACATCTAGGGAAAGATCAAAATTATATGTTGCTATCATAGATGTATATGGGGTGATATAATATCATATTATATGGGGTGCTACTCATGTGAAGTATAAAAGCTATTCAATATAAAGTTCAAAATATTTGCCAATTTATTTTCCAGTAATTACTCCATATTGCTCTATAATAAACTTTGTTCTCAAAAGAACTCTCAGTTCCAAGACATTGTAAAAATCAGGATAGAGATATATATATATTCATAAGATATAGGTCTGGATT